TTTGTCCATTATACATATTCAATTAAGTACGATCTAATTACTTATGTATTTCATTTACTCTAATTAGATACGAAATGAATTTTAATTTATGTTTATGGTTTGTCTATTATATATATTTAATTAATTATCTACAATATGTTTTTTAAATTTTTCTCAGTAACAAATATTTTTATTTTATAATCTCACAAATAACTATTTTTATTTTATCATAATAATTTTAGATATTTTTTTAACAATTCACATTAAAAATATCAAACACTACTATTCAATAAAGTATATATCATTTCAGTCATTTTACAACTGAACTAATTTTTCTATTCATCCAAACAACTTTTAACTTTTCCAACTAACTTTTTAAAAGCACCTATCCAAACATAGCATAACTGATTTTTACTCTAACTTCAGTTACAAAAGTCAGTTAGACTAGAAGTCAATTTTGTTCAACGCCAATCTAAACATACGTTAAGAAGAGAATCTTGAGGACAATCTTGTCAATCTAAAGAATTATGAGGGTAATAATGACTTTTAACATTAAATCATGAATCGTGTGATCTCAATATATGTGCTTAAACTAACCATAGCAAGATATCAGCTATCCTATTTTATAGGTAAATTTACATGTGTATGTATACATTTTAACAATTAACACTAGCACAATAAATAATAAGTGTGATTGAACAATTTAACCTAATAAAAATTATTAGCTTATGAGAAGTAACAAAGGTTCACAAAGATATGAAAAATTTAGGAAAAATTACACTCAGCTCCCACAGAAAATAATTAATTTTAAAAAGTCCCTAAAAATCCTGAAATGATTCTGAAGTCTCCAGGGACCTGTGTGTAATTGATTATAATTGTGAAATTACTTATTTACCCCCATTAATTTTATTGCAACAATTCATTTACAATCTCAACAGTGGCTGTTGACAATCCGAGAAGAAGTAGTTGACAACCTCGGCAGTGCTCCTGACAACTCACTCTGTGGGATGCCAGGGGCACTGCTGAGGTTGTTAACATCTCTCCTCAGGTTGTCAACAGTCACTGTTGAAGTTGTAAATGAATTACATTGGGTTCAAATTAATAGGAGTAAATAGATAATTTCACAATTACAATTAATTATACACACGTCCCTGGGGACTTAGGAGTCATTTCGAGATTTTTAGAGACTTTTTTGAAATTAATTGTCTTCTATGGGACCTAAATGTAATTTTTTCAAAAATTTATCTATGCATATAACAATAGGAAAATAATAACTGTGCATATAAAATTTATTTAGATTATGAGAAGTAATTAAAAAATTTACAAAGATTCATATATAAATTTACACACACATATACATTTTTGTAAAAATAATAAAATAATAAGTGTGATTGAAACATTTAACCTAATAAATATAATTTGTCCTTGGTTACAAGTGCACATAAACACATAATATTTTAACAATTAAAAATAACAAGTTTTGTCTTTATTGAAATAAAATTGTATCAGCGGGGTTAACCGAAAAAATTCTCTCAATGTCAAATCTCCCTCAATAGCTCAAGTTAAATTTTATAAAATTTGTAGCTACTTTTATTGTTACCATCCAAGTGTCATTCTTGAGGGTTTTTTTTTTTTTTCTCATAGAAATCTCAAAAGTAGAAGAAAAATTCAAACTTAGCACCTGGAAATTGAACTAGGCAAGAGGATGCCACATAAAATTCAGGACTAAAATTCTTCCACCGTAAATAGAAGAATTGAACAAAATAAACAAGAATACTTAAAACAATAAGCTCTTGCGAGTACAGAGCAAATTCTTGTGCATTCGAAAAAAGGCGAGAAAAATAAAAAATTCTTCAAGATCTAAATATTGCATTTTCACCATATTGTTAGACCTCACGGTAAGTTTTGAGAAAAGTATTACATCAAGGTTTGTCTATGTTCAAATACTAGTACTACCGAGGATTCCCGCATAATTCATAAAGTTAAGGTCTCCGCTGAGAGTCGTTTACAAAGAACAGCACAATACAGTAGGGTAAAATTAGCCAAAAACCATGTTATGTACAGAACTGAAGCACAGCTTCATGCTTTCTCCTTCTCATTGTCCCCTTTTCTTGTTTAACGGAGGAAATGATGTGTGAGTCAGATATCTCTTAACAAAAAATTGTCGTCCAGCCAAAGGATTTTCAACCCCAGGGGCGATCAGGCAGTCACAAGATGGGGAGATGCTCGTGGAAGGCCACACGAGTAAGTGACATACTTGACACTATCTATAAGCACAACCACAAAAATCCGAGGAAGTGATTTAGGCTTCATCACACCATCCACGTCAGCATCTCCCACCTCTTGGGATCAACAAGGACCGAAACCACCATGGAAGATGTTGATTTATTACCATGGAGGTTCTCGTTCTGGAATTTCTCATAACATGTTCTTCACTTGTGTTGAGACCAGATCCGGCAAGGGAACGTGGCAGCTTGTGAAGGAACCTTCTATTCCTTCTCTTGTTGATGCTTGTATCATTCTGGCGGTTAACAGGAGAAACATTTGCAACTGATGATGCTGGAACTATAGCTCCCGGTTTTGGCGAAGCATCAAACTGGAAAACCTCCGTGCACATCCCAGAACTCAACATTGGCCCTGCATCAGGACCCCAGAACTTTCAGTAATTGTGAGAAATATGGGTAAAATTGGGAGAAGAACAAAATAGAAACACTGCTTCCCCCCTCTAAGTTCAAAATGGAAACATGTCACCAAAGAGAATAAGAGAAGATTGGCAGCATTCTAGAAGAAAAGCCAGAAATGCATTTCCTGGCGGAGTGTATTAGTGACTGTATAAATAACAACAATGTATGAAAAAGATATTGAATAAAGACAACACTTCAAAAAGGCCAGAGTACTGTGCTTTAAAAATGAAAGACCTCAAACATTCAATAATACTCATAACAAACATACAAACAAGATGAATAATTTCACAATCACCATACAGATGATGGTTTTTTTTCATATTGTTCTGACAACTTTGTTGTGTACTTGGACAATCCATATGGTACAGGCTAGCTACCAGCCTAGACAATAACTATGACATAAGTCGGTGAAAAAATGCATCAATTATACCAAGCAATCTACACGTAAAGGGAAACTCAGAAAAAGAGACAAAGAACAAGCATCTCACCAGCAAGACCTTCACGAAACCATTGTTGCATTTTACCATCAGTCGCAGTTGACTTTAAATGGTTCTTCAATGTTTCAGCTGAACCAGAGGCAAGAGCCTTCCGCTGTTCAGGCGGGCTCCTATATGAGTGAGGTTGTTGACCGCTGTTCCTTGCAACGTCAGGAATAGCCAGTGCAGATCCCAATTTTTAGAAATCATCAATCCATTTTCTCTCGTATTCTTTTCTGTATGAGCAGTATCAGATGCCATGGCTTTTTCAGTAGCCAAACAGAGTGAATTATCAAGTTTCCATCAATTTTCACTAGCTTATCATTCCTTGGAACATACAGAGAAGCAAGAAGAGGCTCGGAGTCACTAGTATTTCCTCTATGAACAAAGTCATCTGAGCTCATTCTACATGGTGAGTCCTGTTGTCTCAGTGTTTCTTCTAATTTGCGAACTTTCTCATATAACGTTCTGTCGGAAATACCCAAATTCCCGCTAGAGAATTTTACTCCCTTTTCTCCTTCAGATGTATTTATATGACCATTAACCTCCCAAGCTTTTCCTCCGTGGTGACTATAGAACCTATCAGTAGCAGAGATGGGCCTCCTGGGAACATTGTCCCATATATCTCCAAACTTAACATTAACTAGAGGAACGAGTCCACCAAAAAGAAATATAAAGAAAAACAAACCCAACAAGCTAATGCTAGCAACCTTCTTAGTTTTTCCTTCAGTCTTCTTATTATCGGATTTTTTGGCTTTTGGCGCAGATTGCGACTGTTGAGACTTCAATCTGGGGATAGGAACTAGAGGAACCTGAGAACCTTGCGGTTTGACAACATAGGGTGCATACGGCACCCATGGAAAAGGCATTGGTGCCATTGGAGGATGAGGGTACACCCCTGGAGCTGGCGGCGGGCAAGTTCCACCGCCACTCAATTGCTGTCTCAAAGCAGCATTCTCGGCCATAACAAACGATACCTTACTGCTTAAATCAGTTATGGTGGAATGCATTGACCTCACCTTCTCCTCAAGCTCCTCCACATAGTGCTTCTTTCTCTGTCTGGAGAGCTGGGCACTTTCTCTATTCCTCATCAGCCTAGCCTTCCTTTTCCCGTCCTCTTCATCCACGGCATTAAGATCAGACTGTTGAGAGGTATTCACCGTAGACTTTCGGTACTTGGTAGTTCTCGCCTCGGTATTTCCTTCATTCTGTTGCTTCTTCCTTTTCTTCCTTCAAATCACAGTTTTTTACCCATGTCCTCCAATTTCATATTTTGATGAGTAATCCCATGAGAAGAAATGTCTCTGTCGTCGCTGTAAGAATCTGGTGAAGACGTTTTCATCACTTCATCAGCACACGAGTCACCTAAACCACCGTTGCCTGAACCCTGGGATGAAATGGACCCACCAGAATTCCCTGTCGCAAGAATCCGAATCTGGCGATTTAAAGCTCGAAACCTTGACATGCAGTGAATGAGGGGAGTTCTGGTCACCCGAATTTTCCAAAGAGTGTGTCACAGAACGCTCGCAACTACCGGACTCAGGTGATTTTGTGTTCAAAAACTCTGAAACATCAGGATTCCGATTCCCCGAACCCGAAGAACTATCCGAGTCAGGTGACCCAGAATTGGCATTGTCGTAGCTCAACTGCTTACCATGGTCATTCAATTCATGCGATCCAGGCGGCTGAGCATAGCCATCGGAGAGCAGGAAATCATCGGTTTCGTGAGGAATATGGAGATCGCCAAGATCGTCAAGGAAATCTCAAAATCGCCATCAGTCCCCAACTCCATGGCTAATTCAAGATCCGACGCGAATGCTTCAGAGGGCATGGCATGCTCGTTGCCGGAGAAAAAAGAGCGGATCCATGGATGGGACAGGCAGGTTATCAAACTCCGAAGATAAATCATCGAAAGTCAGATCGGAGGATGAAATTGGTTCAGCCATGGCGAGGGTTTTAGAAATTAAGGACCCAAAGGGGTTTATGAGGTCAGGCAACAAATGCGACAACGACCTCGAGGTTTAGGGCATCCACAAGATTGTATTTTGCCTCTAGCTTTTTTTCTCCGCCCTGTCTCCTGCCAACACACCCAATTTCCCCCTTAAGATTCACGCCACTTTCCTTCTTTTTCGCAAACGGATCCACTTTCATCATCTCCTTTCCAGTCCCGTCAATGCTATACACCATACTTCTTCAGCAATAAACCCGAATCGAAGCACAGAGGCGATGGAATTACAGAAAACGGAGGAGCAGAACAGGTATTGCCGTATTGCCGCTGAAGAAGGCAATGCCAGAATGTTCCGTTCACCAAACCATTTTTCAATTGTTTCACCAAATCTTTCAAATGGGTAAATTATGACTGCTGACTTTATTACCTCCTTCAGTTCTTATCCTTATTTTACTTGTTTTATTACTTGAGAGTTTAGGACCTTAAACTTACAAATCATATTTTTAGTTCCTTTAAGCCAGGAAGGTTAGTTTTTGTCAGATTGGCCCAATTTAAGTAATAGCCTATGCAGATAAATATTGACAAAGCATACTTACATTTTAGTTTTTTTAATATAATATTTTAAAATATAACCTCCATCATTTGCTCAATCAGCATTGGTCATTAAAAAAAAGGAACAATATTAAATTTAAGAGACGATTGCTTCATAAATACTATAAGTTTCACTTCATATCAATTTTAAAAACTAAGGAAAAATCTCAAAAAAAATATTGTTGAATTCTAAAATTCCAAATTAGGAATTACTACAAAAATATGTTGTCATTTGCTTTTTAAATGTAGTCATTTTCTTTATGAATGTAGTAACTAATACTGATTTGAAATTTGAAAATTCAACTGTCATTTGTTTGGATTTTTTCAAAAACTAACATATAGTTTATCCAATTTTTTAAAGGCATGAATTTAAATTTTAAAAGTATTACCATTTTAAGTGAAATGTTGTTAAAACATGTTTGGTTCAATCCCATTACAAGTATGCAATGATATGAAGAGTGCGTGCATTACCCAAAAAAAAAAGTGTTTGGTTACTTTTAGTTTAATAATGGGATTCCATAATAACGATTTGTATCAAAAATATGGTACTCATTTGATCTTTAATAATAGGATTAATTAGAGAGTTAATATTAGTTTTATATATAAAATTTATTTCATATATTTACTAATTTTTTAAATTAATTCATTAATATTTTTTTAATAATAATTAAGTAAGAGAAAGAGAAAGAAATTTTAAAAAAAATACTTATAATATTTAAAAAAAATTCATATTAACTGATTTAAATAAAAACGGAAAAATAACCCCATTCACACCTCCCCTGGGGAATTCTCATTACCACTCGTTGCATCATTTGAAAGGTCTTATTCACCTTGAATTACATTTGTATTTGTTCTCGCCGTCTCATCTCTTCCCCGGCCTCCTCCATCATGAGCCATTCATCAACCATCACCCCCACGGCAGCACCAACCCCACCGACAGAGTTGGCACTCTCTCTCTCTCTCTCTCTCTCTCTCTCCAGCCTTTTCTTTTTGTCTCCCTTCCTTATTTATCGTCTCCTACTCCTTGGCCCTCTTCATTCCATTGGCATCATCATCTCCATCCTCTGCCATCAATATTCGAAGTTGTAAATCTCCTCCTCAAATCTGTTTTCATTTCTATGAATGTCCCTCTCTAAATCTTTTTTCTACAGATGTTCATATCGGTTTTAGCGGTGACAAGTTCCAGATTTCCGCATTTATGCGGTTTTAGTTCTCTATGGAAGATTAACCCACATTTAAAACTTGATTTATGGATTACTTCCCTTTCAATTCGTTACTGCGTTCGTTTTCTGCTGATTCTTGTCTGCATATTTGCCGTTGAGAGTAGTGTTTGGCTGAGGCCTGAGGAATTTGTGGAGGAAGACCACCGGGATTGGAGGGCTCTTTTTTATTTTTTTGGTTTGGGGGGCATTTTGGACTTTTTTATAATCCTGGTTAAATATAAAATATAATTTTACATAGTTTTTTAATAAGAAAACAATCCTATTGATAGTAATAATTATTGCATTGCATTGTAAAGGAGTTTGCAATTGAATCAAACGGGCCCTAAAATTATTGAGAAAGTTCAAACAATAATTTAAAATTTTAATTATTAATTTCATTTAAAAAACAACCTTAGAAGACAGGGATTCATCGCCAAAAATCCAATCATAGCTCAACAATTTCAATTCTACCGACTCCCTGTCAGATCTTGCATCTTCGATTTTGCGATCTATGTCGCTTTCACTCATCATTCGCACCTACTTTTGTTTTAATAACAAGGCAAGATATTATAATAAAAGTTAAATGAGAGTTATATAGAATGGAAAAAGAAAAATAAATTTATCAATCCTTATAGTTTTACCAATTTTGAATATGATCCTTATAATTTTTTTTTCTTTTATTGAATCCTTATTATATGCTCAGTTTTGATTTAAGTCCTTCCGTCACTAACTCTTTATGCTAACGTCATCTTCTGCAATCCTCACTTCTCTCTTCCTCTCTCTTCCTTCCTGCACCCAATCTGCTTTATACAAGCAGTGTTCTCTCTCTCCTTCTCCCCCCTTCCCCTTCCACTCTCTCTCTCCTCCCTTTCTTTTTTCTATCTACTACTTTGGAGTTTTGATGGCGATGAAGAGCACGTAGGACGAGGTATAAGGGACTTGTGATAATGACGATAACGTGTGCTCCCCATCTCCTTTTGCTTTGTCTCAAATTTTCGTCCCATAAACTAATTAATTACACTGTCACTTTGTAACTATGTCATCAAAAAATATGTTTAATTAATAATCAGAAAAATGCAGTTTGAAGGAATGGGATTCATGTCAAAGTAGTGTGGTGATTATTTAAACCACATTGGTCCATCGTTAGGTGGGATTTTACGGAGCGGCTCTTTCATGGAAAGGGAGTTGTGATTTTATGGAAAGTAGTAGAGAGAGAAAGGAGGAAAGAGAGTGAGAATGAAAGGGAAGCAAGGAAGAAGGAGAGTGATGGAGAGAGAAAACACTGTTTGCTTAAAGCAAACTGAGTGGAGGAGGGAGGAGAGAAGCTGAGGAAGAAGATGCCACATTAGCATAAATTAACAGAGTTAGTGATGAAAGGACTTACTCCTCCGGTCGTTAATATAGAACACAATTCTTGAGTTGGTTTTGGTCCTAAATATAAGACCCATTTATCATATTTATCAATTTTCTCTAAATTACCCTTATAGATACTTTCTCAACCATAATCAAGTAAAAGAGAGATGAGGTATTAAGAAAGATGATTGTGGTGTTTTAGGAAAAATATGTCATATTTCTTATAATTAACTAACTTACCTAACTTCCTTAATCTAATCAAATTAGTTAAATGAGTCTTATATTAAGGATCGGAGGAGTAAGTCATAACTAAGCATATAATAAGGATTCAATAAAATATAAAAAAAGTACAAGGACCGGATTCAAAATTTAATAAAACTCTAAGGACTGGTAAATTTATTTTTCCAAAAAAAATAGGACGATAATAATCCAATCAAGTAAGATGCAAGAATAAGCGTGGAAGGGATGCGTAGCTAAAGGAATCGCTTCTTGATGCATAAGATTTCCAAAGTGTTATTCCTTAAAAAAGAAACTCAGAATTGTAAATTCCAAAAAACAAAAAGGCAAATCAAAAGTATTTGAAGTACGAAAAGATGTGAATCAATATCTTAACCTTTTCACGATGAACCATCTGGGCAAACAATGACCTCACAGTAGCAATCCGCAGACAATAGCATCCGGAGCTTATTTCTTTTTACACAAGGCAACACACCAACCATTAGAAAATATTGCCTCCAGATACTTAGTATAAGAATTTGTTTGATTTTTATTTTGATTCTAAATATAAGGCTCTAATTCACTTTGTTTTTCATATTTATCTATTTTTTTTAAGTAGTCCATGTAATAATAGTAATTCTAGTCAATACACCTTAGTAGCAAGAATATTTTAGTAAAGACAGTACTTATTTATTATAAATAACTAATTTTCTTAATCAAATCAAGTAGACAATTAGCTTTGATATTAAAAACAGGAGATAGTATTCGAATAACAGTGGTTTCAAATGAAGCCCAGGTCAACCTTTTGATCTAATAATAATTATAGCTAGAGAAAGCCAAGTTTGAGGAGGATAATGAACCCAAAATTTCTGTGTTGCCAAATTAAGAGGAACAGTGCACTTCATCATATCTTGATGAAGTGCAGTGTTCCTCTTGTAGCATATGATATTAATGACAAAGATAACATTGTTTTTTATTCTAATTATAAGATTTTATTTATAGATTACAGACGACATCTTATAATGAGGATCAGAGATAGTACTATGTGACAAACCCTTGCTAATAACATGTGTCCTAGCTGTATCACAAAATTTGAGAGTGAGCAGTCTATGATGAGCTTAATAAAAGAGAAGCAATCAATCTTAGATTTTACAAAAGCGCAAGATATGTTTGTCACTAAAAAAAAAAGGTACAAGATACGTAAAAGCAATCCATGGATTCTTCTATATTACAACAATAACTAAACCATATTGTATTATGTGGGATTGATTGCATGGACTACACGAAATCATTCGATATCATTATTCCTTAAATTTCTCACATTTTGATAAATTTGTCACAAAAGACCATACAATTATTTAAGTTTTTTTTTTTTGGCTTCAAATAGTTAGAATTCCGTCATGTTTGGCACGTATAGATTATATTATTCATTCATGCCAAATAATATTTAGAAGGAAGAAAGTGACAACGAAAAAATTTAGAAAATCAACGTGTTAGATAGTTATCAATTGAATATTATGTTTTGTTAAGAAGGATTGCATGTCTTATTTAAAAACATTTTGATCTCCATTGTTTCATATCAAACTTACAGTTATCATGAATATTCCTTTCTTTTCCAATGTAGAGCTACAAAGCTTGCAAATTTAATATGTTAAGAAGCAATTCATTTCAAGATATGGTGTTAACAAGTTTTCGGCCAACATAATGCATCAATATATCTCTTCATCCCTTACTTTTTTTCTCTTCTCTCATGTTAAATTAGCACATAGGATAGATTTGAAAGGCCTTATTTGACTTAACTCCTCTGCGCTACCTTTAGGTACTGTGACTTAATCTTGTTATTTTTAATTTTTCAATGCATTTTGATTTTTAAGGGACTGTTTAGTATGAGGAAAATGGAGAGAAAGAGCCCGAGGAAAAATTTTAATGAGGTCGTCTTATAAAATTGAAGAAGTGGGGTTATAAAATTTCAATAAAGAAAAAATGTAAGATAAAGAAGCAATTAAAATTAATTAAAAATTTTTTAACCCCACTTCTTCAATTTTTTAAAACAAGCTCATTAAATTTTTTTTTCTCCCCTTCCCTCCATTTCCTTCATGCCAAATAGACTTTGAAAATAAAAAAATAAAAAAAATAAAAAGAGGAGAAGAGAAAGAGCAAGGGGAAATCTTGTTATTTTTCTGATCTAGTTTCATGGGAAAGAGCTGTGGAACATATTCTAACACCCAAACAGCGGCTAAGCTATCTATGGATCAAGAGAGGCCCGCTAAATGAATTTCCTCTTAGTGGGCTGACAGCTTTTCCAGCCCAGCCCACACCATACGGCCGTCAGCAATTAGCCCGTCCTCTTATACTACTCGTATAATACACACATGCAAGGACATGTACGTACATATAAATTGTGCACGTGTCAAATACAGGCACTTTAATTGTAATGAACTAATTATATCATGTTCATTTATTCTAGTCTATGTCATGCATAAACAAAAACATAAAACCATGTCATCTACCTTTTTTTTTTTTGCGTTATTTTTTTTCCGAATGAGAAATACTACTTCTGGTCCTTAATATAAGACCTTATTTGATTTTTATTTTGGTTCTAAATATAAGACCCCAATTTACTTTTTCTCTTATACTTAAACATTTTTTTCAAAAGTAATTCTTTTAACAATAGTAATTCTAACTAATACACTTGATTAACAAGCGTATTTTAGAAAAGACAACACCTATTTATTATAAATAATTAACTTAACTTATTTTCTTAATCTCTTCAAATTAGTCAATTAGGTCTTATAATTAGGATTGAGGTAATATTTATTTCAACAAGATATGTAAGTCGGGCTCATTAGCCTAATCCTAACTATATTTTCACGTTTCAAGAAAAGCGCAGCACAGCTACTGGCACGTGCTTTTTTGGCTTTTCCCCAAAAAAGTAATTATACAACAAATTTTTTAATACTCCTCCGGTCCTTAATATAAGACCCATTTAACTAATTTGATTAGATTAAGGAAGTTAGGTAAGTTAGTTAATTATAAGAAAAGTGACACATTTTTCCTAAAACACCATAATCATCTTTCTTAATACTCCCTCTCTCTTTTCTACTTGATTATAGTTGAGGGAATATCTATAGGGATAATTTAGAGAAAATTGATAAATATGAGAAATAGGTCTTATATTTAAAACCAAAACCAACTCACTAATTGGGTCCTATATTAAGGACCGGAGGAGTATTATTTATCTTGTTGTATAGTGTAAAATTATTTAAAATAAACTAAATCAAACGCTGAAGCAATACAATAGCGAAGTTATCCTTTCTGCCTCTTCACTCTTTCTTAGCTTCTTTTACATTTATTACCGTTTTCCCAGAAAAAAATTTCTAATTCTAAATGCATGTCTTCTTGAAGAAGTTTGCAAATTACTCTTCTTGCTTTTGTTTTTTTGTTTTTGGTGAAATACGGGGCAATCAGCCCAATTTATTCCTTAATCTTTACAACTCGTGGGTATGAAGTTCCCACCTGATCACTGTACAAAAGCTCCTAACACGCCTTGGTGGAGTTTCAAAGAAACAAATATCATCTTCAATAAGGAAACTTAAACGGTGTTTGGATAAAATCAAAACTATAGTTTTATAAATGTTTTTATAATATACGAAATAAATATGTAGATGAATTTGTCTCGATTTACAAAAAAATGTTTCTGAAAAGTATTTATTAGACTTCCCAAACACCCCTTTGAATTCGCTAAGGCATCTGCACAAAAATTGCCTTCTCTGTGTGTATGTTGTACCTGTACCTGTGTACCTGTTGAAGACAATTCAAATCTTTACAAATCAATTTTAACAAGCTTGATTGCATCTCTGCACCTTCCAAAATTTGTATTAGCAATTGTATTACAGCTACCGGGTCGCACTCTACAACCAGTTTCCGAACTTTATTTTTCTTCGCTAGAGTTAAACCTATTGCTACACCCCATAGTTCTGCTTTAATTGCAGAGCATACCCCCAACTTTCTAGCAAATCCTCAATCCATCTTCCTTCACTGTTCCTCAGCAATCCTCCACAACCTGCAACTTTCTCCCGTCCCTTTGAAGCACCATCAACATTGAGCTTTGTCCACCCCCCACTAGGCTCTTTCCATCTGATATACATTTCCTGCTTTTGATCAGTCCCATTGAAACAACTCTGTTGCGCCCTTAGCACTTCATCAGCATGCTTCTCAATTACTCTTTTCTTCCCCTCTGTTACAACAAAATTTTCTTCAAAGATACAGCGGTTTCTCCAGTTCCAGAACTGCCAGACAGTGATAGCAAAAATCAAAGCCCATTTACTATTCAGATTTCTTAAATTCCATTCTATCCAAGCTTTCCCATTTAGTTGATAGAAGTTTAAATCCACCGTGTCTCCTCTCAGCTCTTCCCACAGGCTCTTTGCAACCTGACAATCTCTTAGCACATGCATGAGATCTTCTCTTCTCCCCACACACTTATAACACGCATCACTTCCTCCCATCAGCTTTACCCTCCTTTCTGTTGTCATTAATCTGTCATGAGCAGCCAACCACAAGAACACCTGCACTCTTCTTGGGCCCTTCCATTTCCAGATTCTCTTCCAAACCTCTTCCTCACACCCCTGTTCATTTCGCAGTAACCCATACATTTTTGCCACACTATAATCAGCATTCAAAGCTGATCCCCATTTGATTCCATCCCTGCCAAACTCTTCATTAGGCGGGGGAACAGCGTTAATTAATTTCCTTCCCTCTTCTGAAACCCAGTTATTAATTCTCTCCATGTCCCATTCTCCTCTCTCATTAACCAGCACTAACAATCACATTCAAATCCCCTTCCGTCAACTGAACATTGTTTTTTCCACTCAAGGATGGATTCACATCAAGCCATTTATCCTTCCAAAAATTTACCAACTGCCCATTATCAAGAGACCATGACACGTTATTTATTATTTGGGGCCATAGTTTGACTATCTTTTTCCAAATTTCAGAGTCAGCATCCAACATAATAATTTCATTTTTCAGATTAACCTTCCTTCCGTATCTTCCATATTTTTCACATTAACTCTTCTTGTTTTTAATATACTACTTCTGGTCTTAATTATAAAAGTTAGTTGACTAATTTGAGGACATTAAAGAAAGAAGTTAAGTTAGTTATTTGTAATAAACATGTGTTGTCTTTCTTAAAATATCCTTACTAATCAAGTGTATTGGTTAGAGTTACCATTGTTAAAAGGATTATCTTTAAAAAAAAATACACAAATATGAAAGACAAAGTGGATTGGGATTTTATATTTAGAACCAAAATAAAAGTCAAACAGGATCTTATATTAAGGACCTGAGTTAGTAATATTTATGTTCAGTATAAAATATCTTAATTTATTTTATTTTTTATATTTTATATTTTAAATTTTTTATATAACTATTCCTTTTATTTTGATGAGGTGGAATGTAATTTATTACGGCGGCAAAAAAAAATTCCGGCGGCTGATTTTGTAGTTTCTTTTCTATCTGGATGGGAATTGTTGGTGATAGATTGGAAGACTCGCCATTTCGCCGCTAAAATTCTCCCGGTAGTCCAGTAAGCGCTCTTTAGATATCAAACTCAATTTTATTCCATCGTAGTTGTTGTAGACGAAACCCTGATCACTATAAAAACTCAACTGGGGATCTGCTTACGATCGTTCTTCCACTTTACTTCTGGTCTTGGTTTTCTGTAGCGTCGATTGCGACCGAGATCGCTGCCATTGTAGAAGACTAGAAGAGACTGACTAAAATTCCGGAAATCCACATGTCGCGTGAGAGACTCAAAAGAGGCGCGCTTCCTCCGGCCCAAGAGGTACGATCCATGAATGTGTAATTCCTTAGTAGCTTGCTTTTTCTCAGGAAATTATGGGTTCCCCATTTCGCGTGGGAAATTAATGAGAAGTGGCTGTACATTTTAAAGAATTTAAGCTGTTTTCAGATTCAGCTCACTGGAAACTACTTATCAGGAAACTAACTCCTCAAGTATAATGTTCTAGATAATGGTCTTATGTGGATTATCTGATTATAGGCCTTATTATGCTTCATATTTGACAAGGATATTCTTGAACTGTTCTTCATGGTCGTCTCCTGTTTGTAATTTCTTTGACGTTGATCCACCATATATGCAATGCTTACGTTAGTTTTTATTCAATATATGAAGGTTGAGTCTATCTAGTCATTATACGATTATCTTAAGCAAATGTTGTGTGATTGCCACGGTCGAGGAGCTTTCCTGTTTCTCATATGTTGGGTATATGATTATCTTTATAGAGCGTAGGAGATTGTGGAGCTTTTCTGTTTCTCATATGTTGGGTATATGATTATCTTTATAGAGCGTAGGAGATTGTGAAGGTCATTTATTTCTGAGATCTTGCATTTTTAACATCTTTTAATTTCAAATTTTCTGAGTTGCACATAGTATGAGTTGCTGCTTTCTCTCATAATTATTTGACATTCCTTCAAATGTTTTCGTTTTAAAATAAGTATGAATTCTGGTTCTTATTATTATCATGTGGCAAAATGCAGAATATTGATAAGTTGCAGAAAGTTGTAAATGAGGGAAATTATTATGGAGCTCAACAAATGTACAAGTCTGTCAGTGTCAGGTTGAAGCAGCTTCTCTATGATACTTTTCATTTAAATTGTGTACTTTATTTTTATAGAAACGTGCACATCCCATCTCATGTAACCTATTGATAATTTGGTCAGCAATTGGAATTAGATTTTCAATGATAAGTTGATCTGTTGTAGTTATTTTCTCTTAATCTGAAGGGGTTGCTTGTTCATGAAATGAATTCATCTTTTAATTTATAAAATAAACTCATTCTCATCAAAAAGGGGGCACTAACGAACCATTCCTACTTCACTGCAGGTATGTATCTGCTCAGAGATATTCTGAAGCACTAGATCTCCTACAATCAGGAGCATGCATTCAATTGGCACATGGACAGGTTGCACAATTCTAATTTCAATATTTTTCTGCCCAAGCTTTTATCATGTAATGATGGAAAATGATTATTTGCATGTAATACATTTCTTCCAAATCAAAATATTATTAACAATTTTCAGTTAGTTAAACAAAATTTCCCCCATTTATTAACAATGGAAAATGATGCAGAGACATGTTCAGAAATTGGGGGAAGGCAAAATATTTATCCTCACATATACACATCTTTGAATTGTAACAACTTTTATGGATTCTGCTAGATATGGTCGTTAAACTAATGTGGAGCCTTAGCTTAACAACTTAAGCTTATGAGTTGTTATGATCAAGACTTGAGAGTTCTATCCTTACTCCTCTCCATTTATTCAGTTGAAATTAATTTGCAATACATATGTCAATTGTCAAGCTTAAAGTTTTTTTTTTTTTTTTAAATAATGAAAAGGGACACTAGAAATATTGGTAAAGCCAATCTTAGACATCTTTTCTGGTTTAAAAAAAAAAAAAATTCTTAGACATCCTTGAACGCTAACTATTGTCTTGCTCCTCCTCCTCCTCCTTATTTTTGTGCGTATGTGTGGGTTGTCACTTGCCTACACAATTTAAGCATACTAACACTGAACGGAATGCAAACCAAATTGATTTTATGTGCTGTAATTTACTTTGTATTTGCATATTTTGCTGAATCTATTATCTTTTATGTAGAGTTGCATGTTTGGCTTTCTCTTCAATCATAATTGAACTCCACTATGATCTTGATCAAGCTTTATATGCCTTCAGGGATTGCTTTTAGACATTTTGAAGTTTTATGGTTGGCTTCTACTATCCATTTTTACACATTGCATTGGCACATCTGAGACAACTGCAAGTATGAGATGACAGATGTTGCGATTTGAAATTAATCTGATTTGATATAATTAAATCTAAGTTTTAATATCTCTAGTAATGAAATTAACATTTAATCAGCATTGATTTTGGCAAGAACATTTATGTAGAAACTCAGTTTCCGTTCTTCTTCAGGTCACCTGTGGGGCTGAGCTTGCTTTATTATTTGTAGAGACACTCGTGAAAGCAAAAGTTCCTTATGATAATGAAACTCTTGGTGAGTCCTTTTACCATCTTTTAAAGTTTTATTGATTATTGATGCCACTGGTTTATTTCTTGTCTCTGTCTGTGATGCAATATAATTTTGATGGAAAATTTGGGATGTGGGGTCTTTGTTGCATGATTTTGTAAATGTTTTTTTCCCCCTTAACTTCTCATCTTGCTTCTAACCTTGATCTTTACAAACTAAAATATCTGGCAGAACGCCTTGAGAAGATCTACAAAGCTTTTCCTCGGGTTCCACTTCCACAAAACTTGAGAGTTGATGATGACATGCAACAGATTTCTGAAGCCCTTGGAGCTGCAAAAACACGTGTGGAGGGCTGCTCCTCATTCTTAAAAGCTGCTATCAGGTGGCACCATTTATGGCTAATAAGATTTTTGTAATTAAATTCTGCAGTTATTAAGCCTCCTAAAAGTTGTTTTTTTCCCCTTTGTGCCGATGATTTTGTCTATAGAATTTCTCATAGTTATAAGATATCCTATAATCAGTTTTGAAGAAACGGTGTGATGGGTTATTTATCTTACTGATCTACAAATCAACCAGAAGCAGTGAGAACACACATGTATATATACCAGGAGCCGAATCAGAAAAGGATTTATGATTCCTTGTTGTTTTTGAAAAATGAGCCAATCACAAATGAATCTTGTTAAAATGAACCTGTACTTGAAGCAACATTTTCCATTATATGGATTGCTTGACTTTACCCAATATCAGATGAACTGCACTGCAATTCTCATTTAAATGTAAATGTCATTTTGAACTACTATTTTATTGATTTCTTGATTTGAACCTATAGTAATGCGGTTAAAACTATCGTGTTCAGATGGTCCGCAGAGTTTGGAGCAAATAATTATGGATCTCCAGAATTGCACATTATGCTAGCTGAATACATTTATTATGAATCACCTGAGGTGGTATGTATCAAAATTACTTAAAGTACATGTTTGTTCTTTGTTGCTGCTTCTTTTGGATTTATACTGTATATACTACAGTATTTCTAAGATGACTTTGAAATGTGGCACCTATATCATAAAGCAAACAAGGATGTCATATTTAGCAAATTAAAAATCAGAACATATACAGAGTAAGTTAGAACGGAACAGGCCTGATATGTGAATGTATATATTTCTTATTTTGATGCTCTTTTAATATCAATGAAACCAATAAGTTTGATTGGGTACTTTTGTCGGTTGACATTGACATGTCATGCTCTAATGCATAGCAAAAGACTTCATGATTTGTGATATTTGATTCTTGCATCACAAGTTTATCAGCCATCAGAAACACTAACAAAGTCAAGAAGGAAGGAAAGGCCAGAGAATGCTTATTCACAGTTTTAGAAGTTCCTTTTGATTAAATGGAGGAGGAGAATTTTGGAAATTCGTTTGCACTAATTTTCATTTATGGACTGAAATATTTTGGAAGTAAGGGGTATGAAAACTTTCTCATAAAGACAAACCTTCTCTTTGAATTCTTTTCTGAACTGGTGAGGATTCGTCAACTTCATTGAATTTCTGCCTGAATATACTGATAAATGGATTTTCCCCCCTTTCTAGCTCTTCCCATTACTGCACACACTTTGTTTTTTTTTTTTTTTGGTTTTTTTTTGGGGGGGGTGGGAGAGGCAAACAATACAAGATGAAGTGAAAAAGGAAAAAATGCAGAGTGAAAAAGGAAGCATCTGAAAGAAGTCAAGATGGAGGAAGTTATGCCATTCAGTATGCTGCTTTGCTTATAAGAATCACATCTTCGGCAGAAATCAGTGAATTAACCTTGTCATGATCTTTTTAGGGCTTTTGCTTGATGTATTTTGAGTACTAGGATCAGCATGCCTGGGGGCAGCATCCTTGGTATGAGTGTGCCCACCAGATCCTTATTGAAATCAAACACCTCAGCTAGGGGTATGCCTTGTTTAATAACTATGCGTATGGCTGTTAGAAGTTTGATAGTTTGCTGTATCTAACTATGGAATTCTAGAATTGTTGTAAGCTGCTGTATTGAACTGCATACAATCTATGGTGGATAGTAGCTGACTAATTGCTGGAAAGGTCCTGTAGTCTCTACATGCATTGACTTTGTTTTTATTTACATTAATACGCAGATTTGGAAAGGAGGTATGTTTTGCATTTTAAGAAGCTTCACTTAACCCTAAAAGTAATATGACCTTTTTTCCCTGGTCCATTAACACAGTATACTTCTGACATGCAGGATATGGCTAGAGTAACGAACCATTTCGTGAGAGGAAATAATCCAAAGAAGTTTGCTTCCATTCTTGTTGATTTTATGGGCAAGGTCAGCCTCATCACATTTTCCATTTTTTCTTTGTTTCTCTGTTCTCATACCTTGTTCTCCGGTTCAAATTTACCAAATTCACGTACGGTGTGCTGAAGAATTCTTCCCTTGTTTTTCCCCCCATTTTTACTAAAATTCGGTTGGGACGTTCAATGACGATCTAGTTATATTGTTGAGATATTGTGCTATATCATTGGCTCCCAGAACTGATTTCGAAAAGCGTAATTGAGGATTTCCTTGTCATTTTGTCCTTGTTTTGAGGAGGTTCAACTGATATGCCTCTTACTTCTTGTAGCGTTATCCAGGTGAAGATGACTTGGCCATCGCTAGGGCAGTTTTAAGGTAAAAGCAATTATCATCCTGATGCTCGCTTTGAAAGATGATAGACACCTTCT